CGGGGGACACCAGAAATGGGCTTAACACATTGTGCCCATGTGGGAATCACACTATAACTGGACACAGAGGACCCTCCGCACATCGGTAGTCTTAGTCCTAGTCTGTTTCACGGTGCCTAAACCATATTATTTTCCTTCTGCCAAGCCCTTCCTGCAATGCTTAAGCCCTGAATAAAGCAAGTCTTGCTTTCCTCAGGTTCTGAATCTCTCGACTCACTGGGGCTCCTTTTCAATTTAAAAGGAAATAATTTGTTTCTGTCACGATACATACATTCAGAGACTAAGCGTTCGTTTATCGCAGTCCCTGAGCCCCATTACATTTCCTTCCACCCGGCCCTTTCAGCAAAGCATGACCACTTAACAAACAAGTCTAAATTGTCCTTAGGACCTTAATCTCCCAGCTCACAGGATATCCTAGACTAACAGCGAGTCTCTGAAATGAACATATTCTACAGAAAAAAGTTTTTAATTAAAATAAAAAGGAGCCCAGAGACTTCTTCATTTTCAGAAACTGTGGAAATCTAGACTTGCCCCACATTATAAACTTGAATGGGGTACAATGGGTATATTTATTTCAGGGTCTGTATACAGACTAAGAATATCCTTTTCAATTTAATTGGAGTGAGTGAGTTAGTTTAGGTTTACGACGCTTTTAGCAATATTCAAGCAATATCACGGCGGGGGACACCAGACAATTTAAATGGAGTTGTTTAGTTATATCAAAATTAAATATTTTCGGAGACTATGAGTAAGGCTACTGTGAACAGTGTCCACATGTTATCTGTACATCCATGGATCAGGTGTATGGAGTAGAATGGATCAGGGGGCAGATAAGACAGCGTAGATAAGACACACTTTACACCTGTAAACGCGTGTTCCACAGGAAACGGCTCAAGAACAGTGCGGGGCGTGGAGGGATCTGCACTGCACCCGAAGCTGAATGATTGGGGGTGGGGGCGTATCAACGGTTAATCAACCCGCGGACGTTGTGCCATTGTCCGGCTGAAGCCGGTCAGAAACAAAGAAATCACCGCCATGTTCACGGGCGGAAACAAGCCACTGTGTAAGCAAATACCGTTGCGTTGGTTCAACGAACTGTCCAATGTCCTTTAAACTGTTCACAGCAGAAAAATCTCGTTCTGTAGAGGTTCAAACAATATAACGGCTTGACATTTATCTCTGAAGGCTAGCTAACTGAAAATTTAATTCATCTGAAAATTTATAGCTACAAAATTAAAAAATCCAAATGGAGCCCAGAGCAATCCTTAATATCAGGAGCAGCGGCAGTCGAGACTTGTCAAGTCATTCTAAACTCCTATTTGATTTATTCTCTCTGTTTGGGAGACAGATGGCATTACGGCGTTCATCGTCGCAACAGTTCGGGTAATGACGGAGCCTAGGATCTATATTAAACATTTAATTAAAACACTGTCTAATTATCAAGAAAAAAATCGATTATTAAAACAGATTCGTAAGGAAATGATAACAACTGTGGCTGATGCTTATATATACTGAGCCAAAATACTTACGCATCATATTTGGAAGGAAATAGTTTACGAACGATCATCTCTAACTTTCCTTGTTCGGTATACTAAAACAAACATATTTTGTGTGTGTGCTAATATTCTGAATATGCACGCAAGTGTACGGCTATTTAAAACTGTGCAATTAAAGTTTTGTTAAACGCGCGTCAATTATTTGATGGAATCACAATCGAAGAAATTTAGAAAATATGAATAATTAGTCAAGTGATTAGATTGCTCGTTTGTCAAACAGGACCCGCAAGAGTGCGCAAATGCATGAGTACCCCAAATTATTTGAAAGTAAAAAAATATCATACTTACTTTTTTTTAATAGACCGTGTCCTCGCATACAAGTTTCGACTTGCCACTTTTATAAATGTCATGAGTCATTAAGCTTAACTCACACTAGGTTATGCGTAATGTTCCGATCAATGGCAGTGTCAGACTCTTCTAAATATTTTCAACAACATCTATCCATTCACCCATCTGCATATGCGTGTGCATTATATGAATACTGATAAGTCGAATATTTATATAACATAATCCTACCTACTGGATGATGGTTTGAAGGTTAACTCTGTTCAATGTTGTGGAGTCGTTAATTTAGGTTTCAGATACGCGCTCCTGTCGTCTCGAAATACGGATAACTCGACGCACTTTCTATTGACCCGTGAGGTTCGAGTTATTTAGGTTTACTTTCCTGTCATGAGTTTGAATGTTTTGTTACACGACAAATATTGCTTACTCTGTTATTAATCATCATATATACATAATAATATTTGTCTCCGTCTGCATACCAAACATAGTTTTATTTATAACTGTTCGGAAAATTAGTTCAAACAGTTAACGCCAGTGACATAAACTCTTTCCGGTGCTTTGGGTTCTGTCCCCAGCACGTTTGTCAAACATGTGAGTAGTCGTTAACAGCAACATTTGAAGTCTTTGTGTCCGATTTCTTTCTGATTCCGACAGAAGCAATATCACCACAAAATATTATTTATATACATTATTTTAACGTATTGATCTTTCTCTATAGAAACGACCGCCTCCGTGGTCTAGTGGTTAGAGCGTCCGCCCGGAGAGCGGAAGGTCGCGGTTCGATCCCCGGCCTCGTCATACCAAAAGACGTTAAAATATGGTACTTGTTTGGTCCTTGCCTGGCGCTCGGCATTCATGTACAACAAGGTACTGGTCGGCTCGGAGTCAGTATACTGTGTCTGAGTGGGGTATCCATGCTCCACTGCGGCATGGTATCTCAGTGGGCTAGCACTATAAAACCAGCTTAAGTCTGGGCTAGTACAAGCAGCCGCACATACACATACACACGCATGCACGTCGTTATATGAGCGAAATATTCTCAAGCACGACGTTAAACCCAATTCTCACCTCACCTCTCTATAGAAACGTAGTTAACATGTTGGCTTTTCAATGACAAAAATCCTAATGTGTGTTTGTCACAAGCAAGTGAGGGTATTCTTGCTTGTGACACGCCAAATATATATATTTGTTCTCCAGGTAAAGACTTAGACTAACGCCCTCTGAATATATATATATATAATTTGATAGAAACAAACATTTCCTTTCAAATTGAAAAGGAGCCCCATGAGACTCAGAACCTAGGGAAATCTAAACTTGCACCATTTAGGGTTTTAGTATTGCAGAAAGGACAGAAATGAAAATTATGCGGTTCAGGGACTGTGAGACACACTATCAACATCTGTTTAAACGGACCAAGTCAGTCTCACAGTCCCTGAACCATATTATTTTCCCTATTGCTTAGCCCTCCCTGCAATGCTAAAGATCTAAATGGAGCAAGTCTAGATAAACTCAATTTCCCATCAGACTGGGGCTCCTGTTTAATTTAAATGGGTTTATTTGTTACTATCAAAATTATATATATTCAGAGATTAAGCATACGTCTAAGAACGGGCCCACCTGGAACGATGTAATTGTGGTGTCAGACACCTGAATATCTGGTCCAGTTTTGAATATTTACAGATTGCCGTCATACAGCTGACGTCATGCAGCCGTCATACAGATGAACTATTACAGAATGTGCCCTTAGAAACAAACAGATACAAAGCTTGTTTTTTCGCAAGAAGGGCTTGTATAAAATGTGAGAAATAACGTTCGGGCTTTCGAGTTTTCATTGCAGAGCTCATAAGAATGTATTAATATTCATATAAACTGAACAATATAAATTGTTAATAGCAGTAATACATAGTATTAGAAATTCCTTTCCCTGGTCGTCTAGCTGGATAAAAGCGGCTTGAGCGTGACAGATATTGTGATGAATTACTAAACTGTGAACGTGTCACTAATTGCCAGACCTCGTTTAAAAGTAAAAACGATATCGTCCTCCATATTTCAAATTAAAACCACATAAACCAGGAAACATTTCCGAAATGAATAATGGGGTGAAGTACTGTTTATCATAGCATAACTGTTCGTATTCCATGATAAAACACGGATTAAAACGGTTTCGATGGAATCAGATTTCATTGGGTTGATATACTATCATCGTTGGACTGAGAGGTTCCACAAAAGGGGTTGAAAATATCGAAATCTGTAGAAACACAAAAACATTCATCATACTTAAATTAAGTGTACAAACGCGTCTTGTTAATCAAGCTGTAATTACTTAATTTACATTAAAACTAAATGTAAGCATGTAACATATTAGTGTGATAAGCTTAGTCTGCCGTACACCTTTCGTGCTGTATCACAGCGACAAGTAGTCTCCCAAATGTGTCTTTTTCACGTTGTCAAGGCAACAAACACCCCTAGCGCATAAGAAACGTGCTTAGCACTGAGTGCGTTCCCCGTCCCTTGTTTCCGGGAGATTGTTACTGGCATGTGAGGTATTATGCGACCCTCAAACTGTCACCCTTTCTTCTTCACACCCATGACGTCATCAGCGATAACTACCGTCGTCTTCAGAAGATTTCTTACAGTGATCAGGAATGCCAGTTGTCGCCTAATGACTGCAAAAGCGGCGCTGTTATTTACAGGCGCTTTCTCTAACGAGATTTCACGTCAACGCTCGTAAGCTTTTTCTTCGTTCACTGAACTCGTGTTTACACGAAATTAGGTATGTCGCGGCAAGGGAAAATCGAGATATGGAAATCTATGAAATTACATAGCGCGTGTCCACATCGACATACACATTAGTTCGACACCATACTGTTCGTGATACGGCGCGTTCTGAGCGACCTGGGTTTAAGATTTTTATCAAAAATTTTATTTGTTCATTTTTTATCACTTAGAATGTATGAATAGAAATATTTCGAGATTTCGAGTTAAATATTTTTTAAATTCTTCAGAAATAACCCTAAATAGCTCCATTACTTTCTTACTTTTCGCGGGGAATACGAGCTAGCACGCGGTTTCAGGAAACAGAGACAAGGAAAGGAATTTTTAAGGTGCTCCTTGAATAAAATTTTCCGCTGAACGAGAACAAAAGAAAATCGCACTCACCGCCCCCGTTCCTGTTACAGAGGTAAGGGAATCGCCACAGATTGCCCAGACCAACGCTATACCCAGCCAGAGACAGTAGGAAGTCGAGTTTCCGTGTCCATTTCTCTTTCGGAACAATCATCGGCGGAGAATCCTTCCCATCAACCATTTTGTTGAGCGGACTTGTAAAAGTAGAAAAATCCGTGACTCACTCAAACTGTGCTTGTGAAAAGATTTCCGAAAAAAATTAAGTACGGGAATATTCAGAAGAGAAACCGCTTTCTTTAGGAATGAAGGCTGGTGATGATCCCGTTGTACAACAGTGATGCTTAAAGTCGAGAGAAGCGATCGGTTATTCTTCACACTGCACGATTAACACGGGCTGGCGATCACACTCACTTATGATTGGGCTTCCTCTCACGGCTGCTTATTATTCGACATTTTCGCCCACTGCGCATGTGCCACCTTACCCACGTGACACAACTGGGTCACCGTGATCGATTTTCACGCGAGGCGAGTCCAGGGATTGTGAATTTTATCAGCCCCGCGTGCTGTTTATGAAGCTGTGAAAACCTGAAATGCACACGCGTGTTCATGGCAGAATCTCTTCTTTTCCAACATTGTAAAATACACGTTAACGCAAGCTAACTCTCATCTGTCACAACCATCTGTTTACTAACCGGCGAAAGACCTATGAATGTCCTCGATGAACATGGATATTAGATAACTGAAATTGATATTAAATTCATATGAATGGTTAATGAGCTTTTAGCTGGTCGAGAAACATACACCACACGCTATATATTCTGTGTCGTGAAATGACCATATGTGTATGTGCATATTCATTTGTATATCTATACAATTATTTTTAAATGTATGCTGAAAATTGTTTGATATGCATTTTTATGGACCACACCGTCTGTATCATGAGAGATATAGTGAGTGAGTGAGTGAGTTTACTTTTACGCCCCTTTTAGCAATATCACGGCGGGAGACACCAGAAATGGGCTTCACACGATGTACCCATGTGGGGTATCGAACCCGGGACTTTAGCGTGACGAGCGAACGCTTTAACCTCTAGGCTATCTCACCTATAAAGATTGATCGATGTTAGTCTAGCAGTACTAAACACAACCTGGTATTGTTCCTATCGTTTCTGTGGCGGTGGGGTAGCCTAGTGGTTAAAGCGTTCGCTCATCACGTCGAAAGCCTGGGTTCGATTCCCCACCCAGGTACATTGTGTGATGCCCATTTCTGGTGTTCCCCGCCGTGATATTGCTGGAATATTGCTAAAAGCGGCGTAAAACCCAACTCACTCACATCGTTTCTATAAAATTGTCGAGTTATTCTGATATAATTATGATTAAATATTAATATAATTCAGATATTTAAAAGGCTTTCATTATGTACAGTTTATCTTCAAGCTTATCTATTGGAAGATGTTCGGGTGTCAGACTGACCACTTACAGTTATAATACGTTTGTCTTCAAATGAGAACGATAAATTGCAAACTGACTTAAAATCAGGAACAGTCTAATGACTGTCAGTGAGGTACATGGCAATACATATCCTGTTCCCAACAATCTCTGCTGTTCGTTATTTGTATACCCATAATCGCTTGAACAAAGTTTTTACGAAACTATTATTTTGTAAGTCTGTAAGCTGAAATCGTGATAAGAGGGATTCACAAAGGTAGGAAGAAGAGTGCACTGGGTGTGTCTGTGTTGCGCTATTCATCTCGTGAAGCAGTTCATGCGGTGTATGATCTTTGTCAGTGTAATGGAGAGGTAGGAAACCCGTTTTTTGCTATCAATGCATATTTTAAAAGAGCTTCTAAAGCTGTTGGTATGTCTCCTTACAGACACCAGAGCACATACCGATACGCAACCACACACCCTGACTACACAACCACAGCAGATACCCACACGCACACACATGCATACGCATTTAAACACCAACACATACGTAGCATTACGTGTACACACACACACACATATCACATACCCTTACTTCCGTCAGCCACACTAACAGCACATACCCATGCGTATTCACCATACATGTACAGCACATGCTTGGCTGCACTCACCATGTAATTACGCGCACACACACAACCATGTCTATACCCACACACAGTATGTATGTCATGTACGTATGTATACACGCACGACATGTATGTATGTATGTATGTATGTATGTATGTATGTATGTATGTATTGTATATCACCCCACAGCGCATGTATGTATGTATGTATGTATGCATGTATGTATGTATGTATGTATATGTATATGTGTATGTATGTATGTATGTATGTATGTGTATGTATGTATGTATGTATGTATGTATGTGTATGTATGTATGTATGTATGTGATGTATGTATGTATGTGTGTATGTATGTATGTATGTATGTATGTATGTATGTATGTATGTATGTATGTATGTATGTATGTATGTATGTATGTATGTATGTATGTATGTATGTATGTATGTATGTATGTATGTGATGTATGTATGTATGTATGTATGTATGTATGTATGTATGTATGTATGTATGTATGTATGTATGTGTATGTATGTATGTATGTATGTATGTATGTATGTATGTATGTATGTATGTATGTATGTATGTATGTATGTATGTATGTATGTATGTATGTATGTGTGTGTGTATGTATGTGCATGTATGTATGTATGGATGGGTGGATGAATGGTGGGTGTAGGGTGTGTGTGTATGTATGTATGTATGTATGTATGTATGTATGTATGTATGTATGTATGTATGTATGTATGTATGTATGGATGTATGGATGTATGGATGTATGTATGTGATGTATGTATGTATGTATGTATGTATGTATGTATGTATGTATGTATGTGTATGTATGTATGTGATGTATGTATGTATGTGATGTATGTATGTATGTATGTATGTGATGTATGTATGTATGTATGTATGTATGTATGTATGTGATGTATGTATGCATGCATGTATGTATGTATGTATGTATGTATGTATGTATGCATATGTATGTATGTATGTATGTATGTATGTATGTATGTATGTATGTGTGTGTATGTGTATGTATGTATGTATGTATGTATGTATGTATGTATGCGTATGTATGTATGTATTGTATGGATGGATGTATGGATGTATGTATATGCGTATGTATGTATGTATGTATGTATGTATGTATGTATGTATGTATGTGTATGTATGTATGTATGTATGTATGTATGTATGATGGATGTATGTATGTATGTGATGTATGTATGTGATGTGTATGTATGTATGTATGTATGTATGTATGTATGTATGTATGTATGTATGTATGTATGTATGTATGTATGTATGTATGTATGTATGTATGTATGTATGTATGCATGCATGTATGTATGCATATGTATGTATGTATGTATGTATGTGATGTATGTATGTATGTATGTATGTATGTATGTATGTATGTATGTATGTATGTATGTATGTATGTATGTATGTATGTATGTATGTATGTATGTATGTATGTATGTATGTATGTATGTCCCCCCTATTACAATAAAGAAGTTCTTCATCCAGAAAATGTGTTCCTCTTCACGAAGTCACCGTCTATATGCCACTTAAAGAAGATATCCCTAGCCATGTCTGTCTCTTCAACAACGGCTAGGTTATACTGCGTAGTCCGACGGAGTCCCGATTAACTAACCCAAGCAACAACTGGCAAAACAAAACTCCCATCATTTGAGTATGGGCATCATTTTACCGTATGAATACATAATGTCATTTAGAAAATGGTCAAATGTAACAAATGTTATATTTGGGATTACATTTTCACTTTCTTAGTAAAATACAGTGGAAGCCACGATGGCTGGGCGGGTTGGATGTCCGATTTCGTGTGCTGTCGATTAGGTGCTTGACACTGAGAGTGTGGGTCCGAATCCCAGTTGGAACTCAAAAGTACAAAACAAAAGTACTAGAATCGCGAGAAAATATAATTCCAAATATAACATTTGTTACATCATTTTACCCATTGCCAGAAACAAAATTTCCCTGAAACTATCATAAAATAATCCAATCTAAAACATATTGTTTGTTGAATGCAGTAGTAATACAATGGAAACTGACAATGTCTCATTTGGCCAGTGATAATGAAACTGATAAATGAAGTGCAGCGTATCAAAGCCCTATAAAATATTTGTAACCTTAGAGTTCAGGGACTATTCATTGTTTGGGCGAAGTTTAAAAATAGAAAACAAGATATACATGATCAGTCAAGCATTAAATGTCCCAGACATAATCTCCATTCCCACAAAACAACGCCTTGTCATTCAACGTACCATAGCTCAGCCATTTACAGCAACATAGTAGGAGTATTGGATCCCGATACTTGGGGATATATATATATACTAACCCAAAAAAGAAACTGTGCATCGCAAAAAATGCTCATAGATAAAAGACATAACACATTCATCCAATGGCAATGGTGTTGCATAAAACAAAATGCATTTGTCTGCACACATGAACGATGTGAAATGTTTTTATTGTACCGTATGGACGTAAAGGGGTCCACAAGTTGAAAGGGTAAAAACAGAAAGTCACAACTGCAGCAACGTGTATTGCCGCCGTTGGCCTGAACCACAGCTGTACAACGCCGCCTCATGGATGATATTAGTCGAGCGTGAAAGACCTGGGGAATGTTACTCCATATGTGGACAAGCGCTACTTGAAGATCATGAAGCGTTACGGGGGTATTTGGCAGACGTCGAAGGCGGCGATCAATTTGCTCAATTGGCGAAAGATCCGGTGATGCTGGCCTGTGCAACACATCAAATAGTTGTTGCTGGAGAAATTGTTGCACAAAATCACGGGCTGTATGTGGACATCACACGTCTCCACCAAAACAGGGGATGTCTGAGGTGTCGTCTGCACCATTGTAACTGTCCCCGGCGGTGATGTAACGTCATAAGGAGACGAATTGCTGGTCTCCTTGCACGTAGGTCGTAACTTCGTAGGCGGTTGATGACGGTTGAAGGATGAATCCGTCTGCAGTTGGGGATACTGCGGGCTGTTGTTGTTGCTTGTTGACACCGATTACGTAGTTGAACCAGTCGAACCCATCGATCTTGCGCAGGGGTCGTAACTCTTGGTCTCCCTGAACGTGGGTGATCCCTGGCGTCATTTTGTTTACCATATCGACGGAATAATGCTGATATGGTGTTACGGTGACAATTGAAATGTTGAACAACCTCCCGCGGGGTAGAACCAGACCGTTGCATACCCAGGGCCATGTGTCGTTCACATGTTGTTAATCTTGGCATTACTTTGTGGCGGGCCGCTTTGCGATATTCAGTTGACAATGTGTACGTTTGGATTGGCCATGTGTGGGCTTTAAGTAGGTATATCATTCGCACTTTTGCATGCATTTCACACTTCTTACAGGCAACAGCATGTCTTCTTCTTCACGTGCATCATGTGATCCAGTGTCTCATGCAGTTTCGTTAACACGTGTACCTCTCTGTTCCATAGCACTCAGGCCCGTGAAGATCCGGGGTAGAATAGGTCTTCATCAACCCATGCTTGCCGTACAAGGCGACTATGCTTGTCGTAAGAGGCGACTAACGGGATCGGGTGGTCAGGCTCGCTGACTTGGTTGACACATGTCATCGGTTCCCAATTGCGCAGATCGATGCTCATGCTGTTGATCACTGGATTGTCTGGTCCAGACTCGATTATTTACAGACCGCCGCCATATAGGTTGAATATTGCTGAGTGCGGCGTAAAACTAAACTCACTCACTCACTCACTCACTCACCCATAGCACTCAGGTATCTCTAGGTTTGAATTTCTTTCTCCTCTGATGTTTACTTTTTGAAATATAATAATATCATAAATGCACACTTTCTTTTTCGGGCGAGTATATTTAACATGTTTCGTATGTTATCATCAAGCTTGAACTTGGTTATCCCCTTGATAAGAGTCAGTGAGTTTAGTTTTACGCCGCTTTTAGCAATATTCCAGCATTATCACGGCGGGGGACACCAGAAATGGGCATCACAAATTGTACCCATGTGGGGAATCGAACCCGTGTCGTCGGCGTGACGAGCGAACGCTTTAACCACTAGGCTAATCCACCGTTCCGACTTGGTAGGAAGAAGAAAAAGGATTACAGTCAAGCAGTTTACTGTCAGTGGTGTTGTGTACTGACCAGTGAATATGTTTGACCCTTATAGTAATCGCCGCCATTTGTTTTGACTTTGAGTGATTACTTACTCAATGAATTGTACATTGTTTGGAGTGAGTGAGTATGGTTTTACGCCGCTTTTAGCAATATTCTAGCAATATCACGGCGGGGAACACCACATATGGGCTTCACATATTGTACCCAAGTAGGGAATCGAACCCGGGTCGTCGGCGTGACGAGCGAACGCTTTAACCACTAGGCTAAGTCACCGCTCCCCCTTGATAAGAAGAGGAATGATTACAGTCAAGCAGTGTACTGTCAGTGGTGTTGCGTACTGACCAGTGAAGGTATTTGAACTTTATAGTGATCGTCCTCCTATGTTTTGACTTTGAGTGATTATTTATTCAATGAATTGTACATTGTTTGGATGTAAATCGTGACCGACGTTACGTCACTGCTGTATAATTGCATAATTATAAAATTGCATGGCGATGCAGCTGCTGCCGCTGCACAAGGTGTCCTCCCATTACGCAGACAGCCAGTTCGCAGACACCTTAAAACAACAACATTAACGGTTCAGTGAACAGATTATCTACTACCTGTTACCTACACATTATAATGGAATAGTCCAAATAAAAACATAGGAACAAACTGAAGCTATATTGTTTATTTTGAAAGATGGACGAAAAGACAGTAATTTGCACAAATATAATTTCACCTGTGGGGTTGACGGATGCGTCCATCCTACGTGACTGTAGCCCGCTAATTGTTCAGTCTGACACATAAACGCGTAATGTTAGATTTGCTTAAAAAATAAAATATACACTCCTTATACTCCCATTACGGGGCGGTGGGGTAGCCTAGTGGTTAAAGCGTTGGCTCGTCACGCCGAAGACCCGGGTTCGATTCCCCACATGGGTACAATATGTGAAGCCGATTTCTGGTGTCCCCCGCCCTGATAATGCTGGAATATTCCTAAAAGCGGCGTAAAACCAAACTCACTCACTCACTATACCCCCGCATCGCCTCCGTGGTGTAGTGGTGAAAAGCGTCCACCTGGAGAGCGGAAGGTCGCGGGTTCGATCCCCGACCGCGTCATACCAACAGACGTTAAAATATGGTACTTGTTGGTCCCTGCCTGACGCTCGGCATTCATGGGTACAACAAAGACTGGTCGGCTCGGAGTCAGTATAATGTGTCTGAGTGGGGTATTCATGCTTCACTGCGGCATGGTATCTCAGTGGGCTAGCACTATAAAACCAGCTTAAGTCTGGGCTAGTACAAGCAGCCGCACATACACATACACACGCATGCACGTCGTCATATGAGCGAAATATTCTCAAGCACGACGTTAAATCCAATTTCACCTCACTATACTCCCGTTACAATCTATAAATATTTGAGGTTCTCCGATATAATTAGTAACTAAAGCTAATTGGAATCGACATATTCATAACGTTTTCATTACAGTATATCTACTAGCAAGCTAACAGAAGATGTTTATGTGTCAGATTGAACACTGACAGTCACATCCATCAAATCCATTGCGCGCGCTTACTGTCTATGTTATGGCGGCCACGGCTGCATCGCCGTACATGATATGATTACGTTACATTCAGCAGTGACGTGTCGTCGGTCACGATTTACATCAAGTTAACGTAAATTTATTCAGTAATGTATCACTCAAAGTCAAAACATTGGAGGGCGTTTACCTATGTAGCCAAGCACCTTCACTGGTCAGTACACAACACCACTGACAGTAAACTGCTTGACTGTAATTTTTCCCCTTCTTCTTGTTTAGCTAAGAAACATTTACGCCTTGCTATTTTGATATTGTTAGGTCTTATACATATATGGTACAATCTAGTTTATGAGTTTATTGGTTGTTAGCTTAAACTATCTGATATAAACCCACTTAGACACGTGCGTAATTATCCCTTGTTTGTATACAGATTATAACAATAACTTGTATGTTTAAGATAAGGTCCCTTCCTTAGTATGTATGTATATGTTGTGTATATATAAGTGATGGGAATTGGTTAAAATCTCATAATTGATGATTGGTTTATTACAACCGATCAATCATCGAAAAAATTTGGTTAGCGTCATTAATGAAATTTGTTAATGCACATTAAAATAAGGAAAAAACATGTAGTTCTTTTGGTTTCTTTAAAGGATGACTAGTATGTAAGGAACATAAATTTCTTGGAGTCTTTAAGATAGATTCAATCATGACTTGAAACGAGCTTGTAGTGCTTATGAACTGTGACAGACAAAACCAGCCTTGTGAAATATATATTTTTTATGAAAACAAGTGTTCCAGAATTGTTTGTGGTCGATTATGAGAAAACATGATCGATTGCTTGGTCGTTTAGTCACTGCGACCAATCTTCGATTATTTCAATTAATCGGACCACCACTAGTATATATCTATTAACAGTTTGTGAATTACGCGTCATAGTTTAGAATTAGTAACCCAAGCATATCTATATTCATTTTCACTTACATGACGAAATGCTCTCTCTCCATACATGAAAGTGTGCTCAGCTGTACCTATAGCTATATCCCCTATCTATCTTCCCCTTAAGTAATACAAGTATTGACATTCCATTTTAACTTTCTTGTATATATTGCATTTGTTCTTATTATCGTCAATCTGTATGTCATGTTTTGCTGTTTATGATTTGTGTTTAATTTTGTACACAGCATCATTGACAGTAAAATGTTTCACTGTAATCGTTCCTCTTCTTATTATTAAGGGTATAATCAAGTTCCCGGGTCAAAAGCTTGATTATAGTTGGTGAAAACAGACACGATCTCGGCCCCGAATAATGTCTACATGTCTAAATAAGCGACGCTTAAGTATTTCTATCAACTTCGGAAACTCGCACCTGTCCAAGAACTAGAACGATCACATTACAAGCTAAAACAACAAACTACAACCACAAGAACATCTCCAACCACAGCAACCACAAGAACATCTCCAAGTACAATAAAATCACGAACATCTCCAAGCACAATAAAATCACGAACATCTCCAAGTACAATAAAATCACGAACATCTCCAAGCACAATAAAATCACGAACATCTCCAAGCACAATAAAATCACGAACATCTCCAAGTACAATAAAATCACGAACATCTCCAAGTACAATAAAATCACGAACATCTCCAAGTACAATAAAATCACGAACATCCCCAAGTACAATAAAATCACGAACATCTCCAAGTACAATAAAATCACGAACATCTCCAAGTACAATAAAATCACGAACATCCCCAAGTACAATAAAATCACGAACATCTCCAAGTACAATAAAATCACGAACATCTCCAAGTACAATAAAATCACGAACATCCCCAAGTACAATAAAATCACGAACATCTCCAAGCACAATAAAATCACGAACATCTCCAAGTACAATAAAATCACGAACATCTCCAAGTACAATAAAATCACGAACATCTCCAAGTACAATAAAATCACGAACATCTCCAAGCACAATAAGAACAAGAACATATTTGAGTACAAGAATAAAAACAAGAACACCTCCAAGTACAACAAAAAGTACAGCATGGAACACAAGAACATCAACAAGGACAACAAGAGGATCAAGACTCTTCCAAATACAAGAAAGAGAACAAAACACACGAACCAACAACAAGAAAATCGGAAAACAAGTAAAGGCTGCATTCAAGCAGATCAAGGACTTCGACGGCCAGGTAAAAGAAGATAAATTTCAGTCACCTCACTGTTTTGAAGTCGACACGATCCTGACATCGAAGCGACATGTATCATGAGAAGTGGAGGATACCACCACGTGGCAACCAGATTTACATGTTGGTGAGCTTAGCAACTGCACTTTTCGAAGACAATGTCGGAAAGAAGGCGGAAACGACCGCACAGATCATATTTTACAAAGAAATAGAGATATAGAATTCCACATTTTACATATTTGCTGTTCGCATGTGCACACACATCATCCCCTATCCACCCCTTTCCCCGCTCCCACTTCCCTGCTCTGTTTTCTCTCAGAAAATTATTGTAGTTTTGTCTTATGTTTACTGCTAAAAGTTATTGTTGGCCACTTTACCTCACCCCAACCCAAGAGACAGCTTCAACATTTGTTTCTGTCCCTTTGATACTTCTAGGAACCCTGTGGATCTACTTCTTGCTACTGTTGAGTATGTTGCTTCCATTGCAGTATAATGAGTGTATGTTACACTGGTAATCATATGGTAATATGTTTTCAGCTTGGGGGATCGACAGGGCTTCATTCACTGAGCGTGTGATAGTAAGTATACCATCGTGGGTTTGTTTCATGCCACACAAACGTATCAACTGATGTCATAAATAGAGAAAAGTGAGGTGAGGTGAGGTGAGGTGAAATTGGGTTTAACGTCGTGCTTGAGAATATTTCGCTCATATGACGACGTGCATGCTGTGTATGTGTATGTGCGGCTGCTTGTACTAGCCCAGACTGAAGCTGGTTTTATAGTGCTAGCCTACTGAGATACCATGCAGCAGTGAAGCATGAATACCCCACTCAGACACATTATACTGACTCCGAGCCGACCAGTCCTTGTTGTACCCATTAATGCCGAGCGCCAGGCAGGGACCAACAAGTACCATATTTTAACGTCTTTTTGGTATGACGCGGTCGGGGATCGAACCCGCGACCTTCCGCTCTCCGGGCGGACGCTCTAACCACTACACCACGGAGGCGGTCCAAATAGAGAAAGAAGTTCTGAATGTTCATGTAAAGCATTGGTAATATCCGAACGATCCATTGTAAGGACTTTCATGTGTTCAGCCAAAATCTGCACATCATCTAGTGTGGCTGTGTTGAAAATGGATCGAGACAGATCACCTATAAAAGAAAATATAGCACGTTTTGTTTTGCTTGGTGACGGAAAGTTTGTGTGTGGAATTAATGTATGCACGAGCTTGACTGTTTCATATAGTGTTGACATGACATCCGTATGAATTGTAAGTAAGAGTGTGTTTACATATGTCTGTTTCAGCATGACAATTTGGATGCACTGACATGCGAACATGTTCTGGAAGAGGCAGTTCAAAAGTATGATGGCATTGTCATAGAAAGCTGTCATCGAAGGACAGTATAACAACTAGATTATCACATAATTATAAAACTAGTTTGTGAGCATGTACAAATTTACATTTTCAGTTGGCGAACATAATAACTCTAAGGGTTTTCAGTAAGGCAAGAGTCATCATAAGATGACAGATCTCCCCGACCCCTACAAATTAGAAAGAACAAATCATCTGACAGCTACTTTAAGTCGCAAAAACATTTCCGCGGAAACCAATAAAAATGTTAATGACAAAAATCTGTAAATAGCAAAAGGCACCACTTAGGGTACTGTTTGATATCAGTCAAGTTTTGGTGACAGGTATTGAACGGTATTGGAGTTGTGCTCCCGAAAGACAATGATTACGTACGGATGGACAGTCATGGCGTCGAACACACACACACAGAGAAAGAAAGAGAGAGAGAGAGAGAGAGAGAGAGAGAGAGAGAGAGAGAGAGAGAGAGAGAGAGAGAGAGAGAGAGAGAGAGAGAGAGAGAGAGAGAGAGAGAGAGAGAGAGAGAGAGAGAGAGAGAGAGAGAGAGAGAGAGAGAGAGAGAGAGAGAGAGAGAGAGCAAATTTGTATATCACACTGTACCGGTGTCCAGTTGATATTCCAATGTTAGTAATGTTGTTTATTTAAAAAATGTACAAGAAAACGGCCGGTATAGTGGAAAAAATTATCAGGGCAAGTGATTTTACATGTGCCACTGTACCGGAGTACACTTGCAATTTTAAAGTTATTTCCACCCCTGTGCACTCGTGACGGTAATAATTGTTCGTTGTGTAACTACTTGATGAGCAATATTATGCCATTTATGTGACTCCGGAAATAATTAATAGCTATTTAGAGTGTGAGGGTGAGTATATGAGTGACGGTTACTGCCTTTGTAAATATGCCTACATTATGAATGTGAGGACACGTTCACCGTTGTTTTTGAAAAGAACAAAGGCCTTCGCTATAACACGGGATACCCCGTCGCCCGGTGCGAACAACAAACAAAATACGTGTTTGTTGCATGTGTCTGTCTGTAGCACATACCCTAATAACGTGCCTAGGTTTCTTTATGCAGTATGTAATTACACCGTGACGTTAGGCACGCACAGATACACGCAGAGACAGACGCGCACGCACACCGACACGCCTACCCACACCCACATCAATATATATAGATAGATAGATAGAGAGAGAGAGAGAGAGAGCGAGAGAGAGAGAGAGAGAGAGAGAGAGAGAGAGAGAGAGAGAGAGAGAGAGAGAGAGAGAGAGAGAGATACTTACTAGGGACCGTGGGGACTTACAATACGTCTGCTTCAATACGTCTGCTTCCTGCACGGTTTCCTAGCAGTATTTATACCATCGCCTCAGATGCTAGCGATCGTAGGCAATGTTAGCCATACATCTAAAATATACAAATATACTGCGATTAAAAACGGTTATAGAATAAATTATTCTTTGAGTGATATGGGCTTATATACCCCTTCAGGGGGGTAGTAGTTGTATAGTACGTCAACCCCCTTCAGGGGTATAGCCGCAAACAATCTAAGTTCATAATCAAATTCTACCTATATGTAAAATAACATCAAAATGTTTCAATTAAGTAAATTGCTTTTAAAAAGGCAATGGATAAATGAGAACTAATTCTATTTGAGAGATCCTTCATAGAAGATGCTTTGAAATATTTATCCCTTGTGATGGAAAAATCAATACAGTCATGATAAAGAAGAGGCCAGATATACTTTTGAATCAAAGCAGCACTTGTGGCATCACGACCTTGTGACGTCCCCCAGCAAGGGAGTCGTGGTATGGATTTAAGGCATCTGATCTAAGGGTTTTCGGTAAGGTTATCTTAGTGATGTGTCTCTCAGATGAGGGAATATTCTTACTTCTGATTTGATAGAAATGGTATAACACACCATTTTTCAAATCATATTCAACCGACTTGTGCACAAATCCTTTGCTTTGCTTGACCGTGAAATGTGATGGTATCTCCGAAGTTTCTGGGTAGTGGCTGATCTGTATAATATCTGGACATTCTCTTTTGGTTTGTGCTATGTCACGCAGGACAGGAGTTGATATATCAGTTTTGGTCACAGATGCATTTATCTCTTGCCACTTGCATATGCAAATGTTGTCTTAAGGAGATTGGCACTTTTGAATTGTGTTGCAACTGAGATTTGTCTGGTCATTGTCTTCCCCGTGGGCATTGACATGTATTTGGAATATACTTAAAACTGATGTATCATCATGGTTGTTGCGGGAAGCTGATTCTTGTGTCGCCTTTATAATGCAAAAACATTTTAAGTTTTCTGTGTTTTCTTTCTTTCTCTGTAAATATTTTCCCTAAAGTTGCATAGTCCATCTTGCCAAATGACCTGAGCCAGTTTGTGAAATTGGTGGAGTCATGTGAGTGCTTTGTGACCACTGTAAATTTTGGGATGCTAGGTACGGAATGCCTTTATTTCTTTTAAAACAGCGAGACATTCCATTTCCACCACTGTCCAATTCCTTTCACTTTCATCTAAGGATCTGTCACCATACGAGGTCACATGTTCGTTTCTTTTGTCATTAAGCTGTCCTAAGATGTAGCAGCAACTGCTCCCGCTTGCATGTGTTGTTAATATGAAAAGATTTGTTGCAAATGAATACACTAGAAGAATGGAAGGGTACTTTGAAGTTTATTAAAGGCATATTGCCAGTTTTCATTCCAGTCGAACGTCACTTCTTTCCTCAGCAAGTAGTTAAGAGGTGCAGAAATTTATGTAAACCTTCGAACAAATTTCCTGTAGTCTAGCAAGGCCAATGAACGGTCGTACCTCTTTGTTATGTTCTTTGATGCTTTGATTTTTTTGGGTCAACCTCAATGACATTCTAAATGACGACACGACTGAGATAGGTAACTTTCTTTAAGCAAACTTGCACTGACTCAGCTTTAGTGTAACACTTGAGTGTAGGAGCTTCTGGTAAACCTACCTGAGGTGCTTCAAATGTTCCTCATAGTTCCTGGAATAGATCATTATGGCATCAACATGTACGATCGCATACCTCTCGTTCATCTCTCTCAGGTAGAAATGCTGTTGTTTTTCCAAAACCCACTTGCACAGTCCTCAAGTGCGAATATTTGAACCCGAGAATCTCCAATAGTGTCCACCTCATCTTCAAAACAAGGCAAAAGAAAACAATTCCGGCTGAGTAACGCTGTTTAATTTTCAGAAATCTACAGCAAATCGATACTTACCTGATTCCTTCTTGGCCATGACGACAGGGCTTCTCCAATCCGAGCGGCAGGATTCAATGATACCTGCATCAAGCACATCCTGTACCTGTCTGGAACATTTCTTCTAACTTCTGGATTTAAAACGGGTGTCATATGGGTCGAATATCATCCATTTCTATCTTGTGGTGGTATAAGCTGGTTTTGCCAAGTTCCTTCTCTGTTGTCTTGAAGAAAATTGGTTAAGTTGTTTCTTTTGTAGAGATAAAAGATCAGAAAAGGAAAGATCAAAGTAAATATATTTGGCAGCGTTACCTTGATTGGTGATATTTCTGGAGATAGACATTATGTCTATTGGATCATCTTACTCCTCCTGCAAAGTTTGAATGAGACTGCTATCCACTTCCACTGTTGCAAGCTGGTATACTGACGGT